GGTGGAGAGGTTGAGGATGGCTGTGGCTGCCATGTGCGCCGCCTCCATGTCGTGGGTGAAGTCGAAGCTGCTCTTGCTGCAGGTGCTGCTGGCGCTGCTCTCGGCTCCTCGCGCTCCTCCTGCACAGCTAAGACTGCTGCTGCTCGGCCCATAGCTGCTGGTGGTGCTGCTCGCCGAACTCGAACTCTTGCAGTAGCGCTTCACTGACAGGAGGACACACAGAGATGCCTTTTAACACCAGCCCATTATGACAACAATACATTTTTACATCGAAAAACATTGTGCAATTCTGAGTGTGCTCCACACGGGTGAGTGGGCTTGACAAACCACCTGTAGATGACATTGGTTTATTGTTGTTGTTTATGTTGTAAATGTCGTGTTTCTTTTGATCCCTTCTGGCGGTTAGTTCCTGGTCCCTTTATTCCTGCTGCTAGTTTGCTTCTATATGGTTATTCACTGATTTACTGATTATGCTCACCTGTGCCTTGTTTTGTTGCTCACGTTTCCATCTATGTAATTTTGCATCTGTGGTTATTCACTGATTTACTGATTATGCTCACCTGTGCCTTGTTTTGTAGCTCATGTTTCCATCTATGTAAGTTTGCCTCTATGGTTATTCACTGGTTACTGATTATGCTCACCTGTGCCTTGTTTTGTTGCTCACGTTTCCATCTATGTAATTTTGCATCTGTGGTTATTCACTGATTTACTGATTATGCTCACCTGTGCCTTGTTTTGTAGCTCATGTTTCCATCTATGTAAGTTTGCCTCTATGGTTATTCACTGGTTACTGATTATGCTCACCTGTGCCTTGTTTTGTTGCTCACGTTTCCATCTATGTAATTTTGCATCTGTGGTTATTCACTGATTTACTGATTATGCTCACCTGTGCCTTGTTTTGTAGCTCATGTTTCCATCTATGTAAGTTTGCCTCTATGGGTTTTCACTGGTTTACTGATTATGCTCACCTGTGCCTTGTTTTGTTGCTTATTTTTCAACCCAAGCTCATTTTGGAAACGTAGCCCCGCGGACTGGAGCCCGCGATTTATGTGGCCGGAGGTAGGCATGGCCGCGTTTTTTTTTTTTTTATCGAGCGAAATTTTTTTTATCAGGCGCTCCGCTCCTCCTCTTTGCGCTCGCCGGCTGAAGGCTCGCCTCTGTGTGGAGGGCTTTCCCTCTTCGACCAGTTTGACTGCTTAGCTCGAAGCGTTACGTCGGCGGAGCGGAGGCCCTGAGGTAGAAGGAGCCGGGGGAAGAGCGGTTCCTGAAATCAGATAAGATAAAAACAGAATCCAAAAAATAAAAAATTAAAGTGAACGAGCTCGCGACGGGGCGAGATCCGAAAACGCGGTCAAAATCGGACGAGGGCTTTTGCTTTTTTTTTTCCGGATGGCTTTCGCAAATTGTCGCTTGGTTTTAGGGAAGGAGGAGGAGGACGAGGGCCGATTGGCCGCCCGGCTGCCTGGTCGATCGTTCAGTCGTTCGGCCAGCCGGTCAGTCAGACGGACGGTCGCTCCACAGCGGCCTCCGGTGGCTTTTCACGCGAGAACAGCGCGGGCGCGAACGGCGCGCGCTCCCGAGAGGCGTCCGAGACGCGAAAAAGCACACACAGCGGCCTCTCACGGATTCGCGAAAACAAAAACTGCTCGAATACGTACCCCCCGGGATGTATTTCGCGGTCTCCAGAAACGTCCGCGGGGCTACGTTTCCATAATGAGCCCGGGTTGTTATTTTTCCATCTATGTAAGTTTGCCTCTATGGTTATTCACTTATTTACTGATTATGCTCACCTGTGCCTTGTTTTGTTGCTCACGTTTCCATCTATGTAATTTTGCTTCTGTGGTTATTCACCTATTTGCTGATAATGCTCACCTGTGTCTTGTTTCGTGCCTGGTTTTCGTTGCTCATATTTCGATCTACATAAGTTTGCTTCTATAGTTATTTACTTTCTTTGATTTATAAACATTCACATTTTTATTGTTCAATATAAAACATTACAATTTGTTGACATGCGATTGAACCAGATTTTGGTAAAAACCAAAACAATACAAACAATAAAATAAAAAAACCCCTGAGCTTTATTTTGTATTTTCTATTGGATTCAGATCAGGCGATTGGCTGGGCCATTCTCCAGCTTGATTTTCTTTCTCTGAAAGCATCTGAGAGTCTCCTTGGCTGTGTTTTGGATCATTGTCTTGCTGAAATGTCCACCCTGGGTTCATCTTCATCCTCCTGCTAATGTAGATGTTGGACTGAAGCAGCTGATATTCATTTACACTGAGGAAGGGCAGAGGCTTGCTGAAGAACTATAGTGAGATTTCAGCTGCTGTCTGGGCCTTCCCTGCCATTCTACATCTCCTTTTCTTCATGTGCTCAACACTTTTTCCCTCTGTCATTTCGTTTTATCGCACATAACTTCATTTGTAAACTAATTAGATTTCTTTCCTTTGCATATATGGATTTCTTTGGTTGTTACCAACATCCGGTGAAAATTTCAAGTAAACAGCACCTTTAGAAATATGCTTTATGAGAAAAATGGGGATGTGTTCAATACTTATTTCTCACATTGTGTATGCAACGACGCGTTCTGCTCTAACCCACTTGCAATCCCATGTGTTAGTGTGTGTAATGGAAGCCGTTCAGGATGCATGTCTCGTTTCTTGTGATGATTTTGATGAATATGGGGAGACTGAAGTGGCGGGTGGTGCAGAGGGTGTTGGGATGTAGGTGAGAGACGGAGACACACACTCTCTGCAGTTTGACAAAAGACACAATGAGCCACAGCCACCAGCTGGGCATCAAAGTGGCATCTCCCACCGGGCGTCCTGCTGCCATTTCTCTCTCCCTATCTCTCTTCTCCTTCAGTCTGGTCATTAAAGCGAGGCCGGGATCTCTCAGACTTATGCACAGAATCGCAATTAGCAGCAGCCTTAAATCCAGACTGTGATTTGCCTAAACCGCCTCATTCATTATGCATCTGCCTCCAGATCATTTCCATACATTTACATTCGCCCAAGGAGGATCTCCGAGGCTGAGAATTCCAGCTTTCTCAGACCTCAGCAATGTCTATACTCAAGAGTTTCTTCAAAATGATCGTATGGCGGCCTCAAAATTGAAACTCTTCTCAATACATTTGCAGTGCTTTATCTTAAGTGCACGGTGACATAGACTAGCAAAGAAAAATACTGTTTTCGACATATTTAAAGGGATAGTTCACCCATCTACTCAGTCGTCAGCTCACTGAAGAAAATGGTTCATGGGATTTACAATTTTTTTTTTAGATGACAGAAATGACAGAGGAAAAAAGTGTTGAGCACATGAAGAAAAGGAGATGTAGAAAGGCAGGGAAGGCCCAGACAGCAGCTGAAATCTTACTATAGTTCTTCAGCAAGCCTCTGCACTTCCTCAGTGTAAATGAATATCAGCTGCTTCAGTCCAACATTAGCAGGAGGACATTTCAACAAGACAATGATCCAAAACCCAGCCAAAGAGACTCTCAGATGCTTTCAGAGAAAGAAAATCAAGCTGTAGAATGGCCCAGTCAATAACCTGAACCGAATCCAATAGAAAATACAAAATAAAGCTCAGATTTGATACTTATTTTTCAGGTTTTTGTTTTTTATTGTTTATATTGTTTTGCAACAGCTCCTTTAGAAATATTATTGCCCGATAAAATACTGTTTTCGATGTATTTAAAGGGATAGTTCACCCATCTACTCAATCTTCAGCTCACTGAAGAAACTGGTTCATGGAATTTACACATTTTTTTTAAGGTAATTGGTTGCAAACCATTTATATGGGCTTAATTTAAACAAATACATTAAATTAGTAATGTTCAACCTAATTTGTTTGTTTAAATTCAGCCCGTAAACAAATTACCTTAAAAAATAATAAATTTAATGAATCATTTTCCTGTTTATGTTTCCTTTTTTCTGTTGACACTGTAACCATTGATTTCCATTGTGTTTGTTTTTCCTACTATGGAGCTGGAAAAATCCAGCTTAAACCAGCCTAGGCTGGTTGACTGGGTTTATCTCGGTGACCATCCTGGTATTATTCCCTTGAGGGTTAGTAAATAGTGAGTATAGTTTCATTTTGAGGTGAATCAAGCCTTTAATTTGTTGAAGCACACATGCGGCTTCTCAACTGTGTGAATAAATATTCTAAATTATGATTAGCAATACATGTTTTTTAGATTTGAGCGTTTATCATCAAACCTGTAACACACATGTAACCTTGAACCACTCTTCGAGAATTATACTGATATCATCTGAAAGCTCAATAAACACGATTTCCATTGATTTGCATTGCAATAAAATGTCTTAATCATTCATTCATTCATTCATTTACTTTTCTGCTTAGTTTCTTTATTAATCTAGAGTCGCCACAGTGGAATAAACCGCCAACTTATCCAGCACATGTTTCATGTAGGGAGAACATGCTTGATTTATATTTCTTATTGTGAGTTAAAGGGGACCTATTATGCCCCTTTTTACAAGCTATAAAATAAGTATTTGGTGTTTCAGCTCAAAATACAACACAAATATTGTTTTCTAATTCTGAAACTGCCCCTTTAAGGCTTTGATTCTAATTGTGGTGTTTTAGTGACTGACACTTTAAATGCAAATGAGATTGTGCTTTTTTTAGAAGAGGGCGGAGCTACAAATGCCTGTGTGTCAGCATAGCGGCAGACTCAAAAACAAGACTAACATCCTATGCTAATGAGGAAGATATGGACACAAGTGGGCGGGGCTTTCCCCCTCTGATGACACGTACTAAAAAGGAATGTCAATCAAAGTGTTTCTGCAGACGTCTGATTATAAACAATGCAATTAATAAATGTTTATCATAACAGGCTGGTTATATTTACACACTGCTGGCACACAACTGTGTTTAAACCCCTTTTACAAGTGATTTTTGCATAATAGGACATCTTAAATGCTTATTTTATTTCCAGAAACATTCAAAAAAAATGTCTCACCATCTTCATTTATGTCCAGCTTGTCTCGGCTGTGGAGTTTGAGCGCAGCGCCGTGCCGTTTGCTGTAGACACCGGAGCTGTCGTAGTTATTGTAGTCGAAGCTGGTTTTGGAGTATTTCTCTAGCTCTTTGGCTAGGTTGGATCGTGGGGTTGAAGTGGGAACGTTGTTTTTATAGCCGTACTGTGGAATCTCCAGCTGCTTCACGAAGCACATGGGTCTGAAATGAACGCAAACACAATCAATCCAATCATTTTAACTTAATTAATTAAGTGCAAAATTCTCCTTATATTTGGAAAGACTAGATTAAATGTCATGTTTTCCATTTGTTTTTGTGTGTGATGTTTTTGTTTTGCACTAGGGGTATTGATATATTGACTAGTATTTGTTTTGGGTATTTCTCCTTGATTAATAAACGAGCAGAAGGTATCACGAGATTCATTAAAATCTTATTTGTTCAAATGACAATACTGCTGATTCATTTTCAAATGAACAAAATCACTGCCTTTATGAATGAATCATCGAATCACTCACTCAATTTATGACACTGTGTCAACTGACCAATCACAACAAATTCGGCTGTCTGGGTTGGCTAATCACAAAACACTCTCCCAGCTGGCCAGTCACAACACACCCTTATAGCTGGCCAATCACAACATGCTATCTCAGCCGGCCAATCACAACACACATTCTCAACTGACCAATTACATTAAATGTCTCAGTTGGTCATTCATAACACACTCTCCAAGCTGGCCAATCACAAGACACTATCTCAGCAGGCCAATCACAAAACACTCTCTCAGCTGGCCAGTCACAACATACCCTTCTAGCTGGCCAATTACAAAACACTCTCTCAGCCGGCCAAACACAACACACTCCCTCAGTTGGCCAATCACAACACAATATCTCAGCCGGCCAATCACAACACACTATCTTAGCTAGCTTATCACAACACACTATTTCAGCCAGCCAATCACAACACAATATCTCAGCCGGTTAAACACAACATACTATCTCAGCCGCCCAATCACAACATACTATCTCTGCTGGTCTGCTGGCCAATCACAAAACACTCTCTCAATTGGCCAATAACAACACGATATATCAGCTGGCCAATCACAACACACCCTCTCAGCTGGCCATTACAGCACACTCTCTCAGCTGGCCAATCACTAAACACTCAGCTGGCCAATCACAAACACTCAGCTGGTCAATCACAAACACTCTCTCAGCTGGCCAATCACTAAACACTCAGCTGGCCAATCACTAAACACTCAGCTGGCCAATCACAAACACTCTCTCAGCTGGCCAATCACTAAACACTCAGCTGGCCAATCACAAACACTCAGCTGGCCAATCACAAACACTCTCTCAGCTGGCCAATCACTAAACACTCAGCTGGCCAATCACAAACACTCTCTCAGCTGGCCAATCACAACACACTCTCTCAACTGTCCAATCACAACACACTATCTCAGCCGGCCAATCACAACACACTATCTCAGCCGGCCAATCACAACACTATCTCAGCTAGCCAATCACAACATACCATCTCAGCTGGCCAATCACAACATACTATCGCAGCTGGCCAATCACAAACACTCTCTCAGCTGGCCAATCACAAACACTCTCTCAGCTGGCCAATCACTAAACACTCTCTCAGCTGGCCAATCACAACACACTCTCTCAGCTGTCCAATCACAACACACTATCTCAGCTGGCCAATCACAGCAGTCTGGTCTTCTGTAAGAATGGTCTTTTAAAGAGTGTTTCAGACACACTGAGGTTAGATCTGCAGTAGTGTAGTGTGTGAAGCAGCAGATACAGGTGTGTGTTTGTGTTACCTGAGCACACGGTCTGAAGCCTGGCTGGATTTGCCTCCATCACATGACTGGTGCTTCTCATGGGCTTTGGCCAGTTTCTCTGCCGCCGCTATCGGGCAGCCTGACAGACTGGAGGAGGAGAAGCAAACACATTCACAAACACACATCAGTATGGAATAAGACTGTTTTCCTTCCTGTAATGGACACAGAGTGTGTGTTTTAGACTCATCGCTGATATTCTATCTGCAGAGCAAGCCACAACTGGATATTCTTACTGGACAAAGTATAAAAAGCAAGCAGAATTCAACACACTCTTCTTCTACAGTGGAAAGAAAAGATTAAAAAAATTCCAAATATTCAAAAAAGAAACAAGTAATATATTGAATGCAGCATATTTATTTTAAGTAGAACAACTGTAATGTTTCCTTGTAACATATACAAATCTTGAAGTCCATAAACTCACGGTGTGTGTCAATGAGGTGATCAGCATGCAGGTTGTCAGGTTTCTCTTGAACCATATTAAATGTATTTTTACTGTTGCATGTACAGTTGCTTATGAGTGTGTGTGTGTGTGTGTGTGTGTGTGTGTGTGTGTGTGTGTGTGTGTGTGTGTAGTGGCTGGCACGTGTGGTTCAAGGGTCTGATGGCCGTCTGGAGCAGGTTGGACCCCTGGCGAGGTGTCAGTGAGGTGCTAATGGCAGACGCTCCAACAGAAGCTGCACTAATACATATTTGCATCTACTCTTAACTCTATTATACTCTACTCTGGTATACTGTACTCTACTATACTCTGGTATATTGTACTACACTCTGGTCTACTGTACTGTAGTCTACCGTACTCCACTTTGGTCAACTGTCCTCTACTATACTCTGGTCTATTTTACTATACTCTGGCCTACTGTACTCCACTCTAGTCTACTGTACTTTGTTCTGTTCTACTGTAGTCTACAATACTCTGGTTTATTGTACTATACTCTGTTCTATGGTATTTTACTGTTCTATGATCTACTGTACTCAACTGTACTCTTTTCTATTGTGCTATATTTTGGTTTACTGTACTCTACTCTGGTCTATTGTACTCTACTATACTCTAGTCTACTTAACTCCACTCTGGTCTACTATACTCTACTATACTCTTTTCTATTGTACTATATTTTGGTTTACTGTACTCTACTCTGGTCTATTGTACTATACTCTGGTCTACCAAACTCTACTGTACTCTGGTCTACTGTACTCTACTATACTCTGGTCTACTGTACTCTACTATACTCTGGTCTACTATACTCTGGTCTATTGTACTGTACTCAATTCTACTGTAATCTACCCAAGTCTACTGCACTCTGCTCTGGTCTACTGTACTCTACTCGGGTCTACTGTACTCGACTATACTCTGGTCTACTGTACTCTACTCTGGTCTGTTGTACTATATTCTGGTCTATTGTTCTATAGTCTGGTCTACAATACTCTACTGTACCCTGGTCTACTGTACAATACTCTGGTCTACTGCACTATACTCTGGTCCACTATACTCTACCCAGGTCTATTGTATTTTAGTTTACTGTAATCCACTCTGGTCTACGGTACTCTACTCTGGTTTACTGTACTCTACTCTGGTCTATTGTACTATACTCTGGTCTACCAAACTCTACTGTTCTCTGGTCTACTGTACTCTACTATACTCTGGTCTACTGTACTCTACTATACTCTGGTCTACTATACTCTGGTCTATTGTACTGTACTCAATTCTACTGTAATCTACCCAAGTCTACTGCACTCTGCTTTGGTCTACTGTACTCTACTCGGGTCTACTGTACTCGACTATACTCTGGTCTACTGTACTCTACTCTGGTCTGTTGTACTATATTCTGGTCTATTGTTCTATAGTCTGGTCTACAATACTCTACTGTACCCTGGTCTACTGTACAATACTCTGGTCTACTGCACTATACTCTGGTCCACTATACTCTACCCAGGTCTATTGTATTGTAGTTTACTGCAATCCACTCTGGTCTACGGTACTCTACTCTGGTTTACTGTACTCTACTATACATTACTCTGGTCTACTGTAATCTACAGTACTCTGGTTTACTGTACTCTGCTCTTTTCTACTGTACTCTACCGTACTCTACTATGCATTTCTCTGGTCTACTGTACTTTGCTCTGGTCTACTGTACTCTACTATGCATTTCTCTGGTCTACTGTACTTTGCTCTGGTCTACTGTACTCTACTATACTCTGGTTTATTGTACTCCAATGTTCTCTGCTCTGGTCTATTGTACACTACTCTGGCCTACTGTAATCTACTCCGGTCTACTCTACTCTGGTTTACTGTATTCTACTCTACTATGGTCTGGTCTACTATACTCTACACTGGTCTATTATACTGTAATCTAGTCCACTGTACTCTACTCTAGTCTACTTTACTCTACTCTGGTCTACTGCACTCTTCTCTACTCTATCCTGTTCTATTCTACTCTATTCTACCGTGTTCTACTGTACTCTACACTTTTTTATTTTATTTTATTCTACTCTATTCTACTCCACTAAATTATAGTCTAATTTAGTCTACACTGCTGTGTTAAACTTTATCCTACTCTATCATTTTCTACCATAGTTTCCACTGCTCTGTTTTATTTTACTTTACCATGTTCTACTATACTGTACTCTAGACTTTCTACTTTTTTCCATTCTACTCTTTTGTGCCATGTTCAACTCTACACTTCTCCAATATCCTTTATTGTACTCTAATCTAGTCTAAACTACTCTAGTTTGTTCTACTCTACTGTGTCAACCTTATTTAGGTTATTGTGAATTGGTGTTTATTGCCATTCAAGCCTTGAAAAGTAAGTATGTGCAATACTCTTATGAATGTGTGAGGGTTGAGACAGACAATTCAGTAATGACTTTAATTAAACACTCTGTAGCTATTAAACAGTTAAGACAAAAAAAGTGTAATTTGTTACAATAGGTCTTTGTAATCTTGATTTTGGATGAGCCAGGATTTAGGGTAAGGGCTCAAATAAAGAAAGTATATCAACATCGAGACATTTTATACCAGCAGAAGCTAAATGCACGATGTAAAGCTAAACTGAAGGCAACGTAGTAGTGTAATATTCAGCAGTGTGGAGCAGAGACACTGACAGTGAATGTACGAGTGTTTCTCTGCTCCAGACCGAGAGGAACTCACCTCCTGTGAGA